CTACTCGACGAGCTGACGGGCTCCAACCATCAGTCGACCAACTGTCCTGGAGGTATCCACAAGATCCAGTGGATATAGTGAAGGAGACCCCTGTCGACTTTGAACTGGCACAACCAGTGAAGGTTGAACTGCCGCAACCAGCGACGGTTGAACGTGTTGCCGTGAGGTGTGGGGAAAGCAGGATCCAGGTAGAAGTGAGCCAGGACTTGCTAGGTTCCGGTGAGCTGATAAACCCAGAGGATATCACCCTTGGTGGTTGTCCAGCCACTGAGGTCGACAGCTGGTCTAATGTGCTGGTCTTTGACTATGAGCTGCACAACTGTGGCAGTACGCGAGTGGTGAGGTTTTTCGTCATATAATTGATTGCTATCGCATGTTTTAGGCAACACCTGTTAATGTGGTGTTCTTGTTTCCTCAGATGACCGGGGACACCTTAGTTTACGCTTTTACTCTGGTCTACAACCCCGAGGTGTCCGGCGGAGTTCGCATCACAAGGAGCCAGAGTATGGAAATTGGAGTGGAGTGCCACTACCAGAGATGAGTCAAAAGCTGTCTCTGCCTGCACAGACCCACCTGAGTTTACTTCCTCCAAATCAACTGTTTAGACGCAAACAATAAAGTTATTGCTGTCCCAGCACACTGGCTCCTTCTTGATATGCCCCTAAAACTCCACAAGGCACAAACTTATGGCTGAATGTCCAAATCTCATCAACGACTTTGATGCCCATGCAAGATGGTATACTGCCTCAATCATGCGCTAGATAACTGTTGTACATTATCAGGTAACTTGGCAGCAACAAAGCAATTCTCTGAATATGGCCGGCATCTTAACATTCAAAAAATGACCTTAAAGGAGGCTGTCTTTTTACATTTGACCGTGCTTGAATATCAAGCCTCATAGATGTAAACCGTCTGCCTTGTCTTGTCCCAATGGTTTTGTCGCGATGAGCTATAGTAGTTTGAGTGAGGAAGGCAACTTCCTTAAGAGTAGGGCTAAGAGCTACAAGGGCGAGTAGTGTTATGCCTATTAAATTGTGCGTTTTATGCTTTTGCCAGCAGCGGAACTACTTTATAGTCACTGTATCTCATCGTTCTTAGCGAGTGAGTTCTGATATCGATCATATTCCTTAAGGTTTTGGAGATGACTCTTATTTGTTCGGTACACACAGTATTGCTTATCTTCCCCCCCCAATATCTAACGCGGATGATGGTGAAGTAGGTTAAGACGATACATTCGTGATACTCATTCTAACACTTTATTGAGTTAAGGAACCTTTTGATCAAGCTCTCACCCGGGACCTATATGTTTGACCTATAACCCCTGCGTTGAGTGAGCTCGTCCTTACATACCGATTAGGTCCCTAATGCCCTTGGGGGATGACTGGTACCTCTATGGATCAAGATAAGGGCACTCACCGGTGTCTGCAGGTTTCAAAGCGGTGTTCTTGACATTCAGCCCCTTGGAGGAGGCCCCCGGAAACAAATGGTATTTTGTTCCCCAAAAAGGAGAATTTTTATTTATATAAAAAAGCGAAAAGGTTTACACAAATTGAATAGAAAACAAAAGCAGTTATATCTTTCAAACCCTAAAGGTTAAAAAGGCAGTGCATCAATAGTTAATAAGCTAGATTCCCCGTCTTCGTGTGTGAGCAAGAAACAAGAAGTAAGCGCCTTTTGTGTGTGAAAACATGTTGTCTTATATACTTTTTTAGCAGAAGCAATGTGCATCACCGGGGTTTCGTTTGCGTCGATCGCAGTTTCGGTTCGGAAACTCCATCAAAGCAGGTTTGTGCGTTATTTGCGCTACTACGCACTTTATACAGGAAAACATTTTCACACCTTAAAGCAGGTTCATGAAACGGCTTCACATCTCAAGGCGCTATTTGCACTACTAAGTGTCTATACAGGAAAACAGCTTTACATATCAAACGGAAACATTCTTTTTATTTTTTTGGTGCAGGATTCTTGGTGCATTCTTATGTTTTTGTGAGCATTTTTGTTTTACACAGTATCCGGCTATACAACAGATTTCTGTGCTCCGTCCTGAAAAATGTGGTCCTATATGAGGTTATTTTGCACTTTCACTTGACCCATTCTGGATTTGAATTGTCAAATTTGCCTGGGACAGTTCTTAACTGAGTGAAATGACATGGAAGTAGTATGCCGCAATGATACCAATGGTGCTTTTAATGCTTCCCTACTTCGCTCCTTCAGCATAGGAAAGGCTGGCCCATCCTTTACAAAAGGAATGGAGATAGTTCCGCGCCAACATTTCATTAGTGACGTGTCGTTCGGCCAAGAGTAAATCATTTGCGAGAAACTCCAATGATGCAACTAACCGTGAGTATAAGTAATTTATTTTGCAACCGTGTTAAAGACCTTGAACCTGGTTTCATGTCGTTTGCATGACACAGCACTAACACATAGAAGAAAGAATCTGATGTTGCTTTGTGGGTCATCTTCAGAGAAATTGTAGTTTCGGCGCTGCTGACCAACGTCACTAACATGCGTCACAATTACGTAGCTTAGTGAAGTTGGAATCTCTAAACACTGGTTTTCCTTTCCTAAATCTTCATGAATTCCCCTAACCATCTTTCCATGACCCTGTGACGTTTTCCCCAAGAGGCCAAGGCACAGTTCATTTTTTTGACAATTTGAATTCAGCCCTACACTAGCCGGGAGGAGACTGGGTGGTGGAAAAGCCTTAGGTCTGTACTAACTAAGCTTCCGACTGAGTTTTCCTCACAAGACTTTTAAGTAATTGAGTGGAAGTACACAATACAGAAAAATAAAAAACTCCCAATATGGCAACATCACGTGAATACAAGTACTTAGTTACTTTCACATCTAGTTGGATTCCTTGTTTAATTTTCATCAAATTATGAGGTTTTGAATTGAACCATTGTCTATTTCATGTTGTTGCACTTATGATTATACATTGGTTACTCCTGTATCCAATTAGCATGACGTGTAGCTATGAGATCTACACATGTGCAGAGGGATCCAGCTAACGAGTCGGAGGGAGGAGTCACCTCCTTTTTATGCTGGCAGTGGCCACGTGTTGTTCATTCTGTGTTTGCAACAATGGGGTCCAGGCATCTTCTTGTGTTTGTGCTTGCGTGTGTCAGCTGTAGTGATTCCTACGTCCTTGGCGTGAGAGAGCCTAACTACTGGCAGGTTGAGGATGACCCAGCAGCAGAACCTGAGAAATCCCACTCCTGGGAGTCTACTCGACGAGCTGACGTGCTCCAACCATCAGTCGACCAACTGTCCTGGAGGTATCCACAAGATCCAGTGGATATAGTGAAGGAGACCCCTGTCGACTTTGAACTGGCACAACCAGTGAAGGTTGAACTGCCGCAACCAGCGACGGTTGAACGTGTTGCCGTGAGGTGTGGGGAAAGCAGGATCCAGGTGGAAGTGAGCCAGGACTTGCTAGGTTCTGGTGAGCTGATAAACCCAGAGGATATCACCCTTGGTGGTTGTCCAGCCACTGAGCTCGATAGCTGGTCTAATGTGCTGGTCTTTGACTATGAACTGCACAACTGTGGCAGTACGCGAGTGGTGAGGTTTTTCGTCATATAATTCATTGCTATCACATGTTTTAGGCAACACCTGTTAATGTGGTGTTCTTGTTTCCTCAGATGACCGGGGACACCTTAGTTTACGCTTTTACTCTGGTCTACAACCCCGACGTGTCCGGCGGAGTTCGCATCACAAGGAGCCAGAGTATGGAAATTGGAGTGGAGTGCCACTACCAGAGATGAGTCAAAAGCTGTCTCTGCCTGCACAGACCCACCTGAGTTTACTTCCTCCAAATCAACTGTTTAAGAGCGAACAATAAAGTTATTGCTGTCCCAGCACACTGGCTCCTTCTTGATATATGCCCCTAAAATTCCACACTGCACAAACCTATGGCTGAACGTCAATCTCATTAATGTTGATTCTCACGAAAGCTGGTACACCACCTCAATCATGCGCTAGATAACTGTTGTACATTATCAGATGACTTTGCAGCAACAAAGCAAATCTCTTGTCAATGTAGCCGACATTTTAACATCACAAAAATCCCCTTCAAGGGAGACCGTTCCATTTGACTGTGCTTGAATGTCAAGCCTCATTGATGTGAAGCGTCTGCCTCGTCTCGTCCCACCGGATTCCTGTGCTGTCCTGAAATGTGGGCATCTGATTACTTTGGACTTTCGCTTGACTCAGACTGGATTTGACTTGTCAAATTTGCTTAGGACTGTTCTGAACTGAGTGCAATGACCTGGAAGTAGTGTAGGTAGCCACCCTGATACGAATGGAGTTTTAATGCTTCCATACATTGCTCCTTCAGCATAGGACAGGCTTGGTCCTTGATCCTTTACAAAAGCAATGCAGATCGTTCCATTCCAATATTTCATTAGTGATTTATTGTTCGGCCAAGAAAAAATCATGACCAAGAAATGTCAAATACAAGTAACCGTCAGGATAACTATATTTTGCAACAGTGTTAAAATACATTGAACCTAGTTTCATGTCATTTGCATGACCCCACACTGTAACACATGGAAGAAAGAATCTGATGCTGCTTTGTGGATCATCTTCAGAGAAATTGGGGTTTCCCCACTGCTGACCGACGTCACTAACCATACATAATTACTTCGCTTAGTGGAATCCCTAAACAATTCCAACTAAATTCTCCTCACAACGAGACTTTAGTTTGTTAAAAAGTAATGAGTGAAAGTACAAAATACAGCAAAATAAACTCCCAATATGGCGGCATCACGTAAATACAAGTACTAACTTTGACATCTAGTTGGATTCTTTGTTCAATTTTTGTCAAATTATGATCTTTTGTATTGAATCATTGTCTATTTCATGTTGTTGCACTTATGATTATACATTGGTTACTCCTGTATCCAATTAGCATGACGTGCAGCTATGAGATCTACACATGTGCAGAGGGATCCAGCTAACGAGTCGGAGGGAGGAGTCACCTCCTTTTTATGCTGGCAGTGGCCACGTGTTGTTCATTCTGTGTTTGCCACAATGGGGTCCAGGCATCTTCTTGTGTTTGTGCTTGCGTGTGTCAGCTGTAGTGATTCCTACGTCCTTGGCGTGAGAGAGCCTAACTACTGGCAGGTTGAGGATGACCCAGCAGCAGAACCTGAGAAATCCCACTCCTGGGAGTCTACTCGACGAGCTGACGTGCTCCAACCATCAGTCAACCAACTGTCCTGGAGGTATCCACAAGATCCAGTGGATATAGTGAAGGAGACCCCTGTCGACTTTGAACTGGCACAACCAGTGAAGGTTGAACTGCCGCAACCAGCGACGGTTGAACGTGTTGCCGTGAGGTGTGGGGAAAGCAGGATCCAGGTAGAAGTGAGCCAGGACTTGCTAGGTTCCGGTGAGCTGATAAACCCAGAGGATATCACCCTTGGTGGTTGTCCAGCCACTGAGGTCGACAGCTGGTCTAATGTGCTGGTCTTTGACTATGAGCTGCACAACTGTGGCAGTACGCGAGTGGTGAGGTTTTTCTTCATATAATTGATTGCTATCAAATGTTTTAGGCAACCCCTGTTAATGTGGTGTTCTTGTTTCCTCAGATGACCGGGGACACCTTAGTTTACGCTTTTACTCTGGTCTACAACCCCGACGTGTCCGGCGGAGTTCGCATCACAAGGAGCCAGAGTATGGAAATTGGAGTGGAGTGCCACTACCAGAGATGAGTCAAAAGCTGTCTCTGCCTGCACAGACCCACCTGAGTTTACTTCCTCCAAATCAACTGTTTAAGAGCGAACAATAAAGTTATTGCTGTCCCAGCACACTAGCTCTTGCTTGATCTAGTCCTTTTTTAACTCCAGGCACAAACCCATGACCGGTGATTGTCTTGTTTGAAGTGTAAATTCAAAATGTTTATTCAAATCGACTGTACTATATTATGTCATCAGATCCAACTCTCAGGAAAGAAACAATGAATTGACAGAATGCACAAATTAATGGAAAAATAACTAACATTACAAAAATCACCTTCAAGGGAGACCGTTTGTTACAATTGACTGTGCTTCAGTACCAAGCATCATTGATGTAAAGAGTTTCGTCCCACTGGATTCCTGTGATCTGTCCTGAAAAAGTGGTCTTTTGTTGTGTTAGGTTCGTCTTTCACTTCACCTATACTTTAGCCAGGAACGGGCTGGGTGGTGGAAAAATCTTTAGTTCTATGTTAACTTGGCTCCCAACTGAATTTTCCTCCCAATGATTCTTTGGAAACCCAACTAGGCACAAACGTGTCCATCTAATCCATGATTTCCATGCTCACAGAAGCGGGTGCACCACCTGAATCGTGCACTAGATAACTGTTTGTACGTTATCAGGTCATTTTCCTTGCACAGATGGTCTTTGTAAGCTAGGTGCAAAGTCCTAGACTCAAGGTCTCCATGAGAACGAGCAGAAAATGGCTACTCGCGTTGGTGCTGACGTGTTTGCACCTCCACATTTTGGGCTAAGGGATCAGGTTTGCTGGTGTCAAAGTACCTGCTAATCCGTACAAAAGCTAATGTAGCGGATGTGTTCCTCTTAAACTTTCAATTTTGTCTAAATATGAATATTTGATTTAAAACTAATTTTAAATGTTTACATGGATTCATAGCTAGTGTTAGGGTAATCCGGTTAGGATTCATTGCTTTTCTTTTTATGGTGCTGTAACACAAGTTATTGGAATTATTCAACTGTCCATGTCTATATGAACACAAGACAATTTACTTGTGTTCAAAGCCTGAGCACACCATAAAGTAACTCAATGGAGCCTTTGACTTCTACGGAGGTGTTGTACCATGGAGCTATTTCCTTTGGCAATACCAAGTAAATATGTGCATCTGGTTGAAAAGACCCAGCTTTCTAGGTTGATGTGGGCTGGGTCCTCCAATGACTGCATAGTCTCAACTGAGCGGTCTGTTTGGCCAACACAGGAATTTCCTGTTTGCGTCTCAGCTTTGCCCTTGCCACATCCATTCCCTGGCAACAGAAAAAGCCTTATAACTCAAAAAGGTATAGAATACATCAATACATTGTTATCTTACTTGATTTAATTCAGGAAGATATGCTTCACTTCTGGAGCAATGTTTGTGCCAGAGTGAAGAGCATTTTGTGGTCCTTTTAAATTCAATTTAAATGGTCACGCCATGTACATTTAGCTAAGAGTAATATTAAAATCTAAAGGCAGAGAAAATCAACCAATACAGTCAAAAAAGCAACAGCAGCGGTGAAATACAGTTGTTATAAACTTGTATGCAGACTTTTTTTCTGCATAGGATACAAGCTAGTTTGACCAACCTTAAGCTATTACAAAATGTGTCTCCCCCCCCATCAACTAAGCTGCTTAATATCCAATAAAACAGTCACTTTTGTTCTATTTGTCTACTTTCGCAAACATATGAGGAGGACATACTGTATGGCTAAAAGCCCATTGAATGGTGGATAAGGAATGGCTATAAAGCTAAAACCATCTGTCCACACTTTACACTGTGGGTGAATGGAACTTTATTGCCAGAACCGTGACCCTACGACTCAATCCATTTAGCATGGGTGCCACGTTCATGCTATCACTGTTTATGTGTGTGAGCAAGTGTATATGTACTTTTATTTCATGATTAGATACTGTATATTCTAAGTTTGTAAAGCTCCATTTAGAATGTGTCATGTGTTTATTGTACATACATTTCAACCTGGAATATTGATTTGTTCGGAAGTTCACCATTGTTTAACATCTGTCAAAGCTGTTAGTCATTAAGAGATGGAGCCATAATGAGTCATCTGTACTCATTGGTGTATTGATCTGCTGAGATTACGGTTGTTGGGCAAACATCATAATATCTAGGATTTCCACGGGCAAGAATTTTCCATTCCCAGTTTCCGTTAGCTGCTCCGATTTCAGACGAAATTACAAATAAATATTTGTATATTTAAATAAATATTTGTAATTTCTCATTCACACAGTACTATTTAACATTTCTAGGGAAAGTCGTTTAGCTCATAGAAATTTGTATTCCACATTTAACAATAAAATCACAAGTCTGTATGTAATAATAATGTTTTTCTTCCTCTTTGATCAGAAACAAAACAACGCATGTACTTTCCCAGTACATGTGTGAAAAAAAGCACTGCAGGAAGGGGATTATGTGGTCCTAGAATTCTATACATTCCTAAACTTCAGAAAAGGAAGAGTGTGGATTGGATTATTTCATGGAAAGCAGACTCAAGCTGGCACTTGCCACCTGTCATTGGTTGTCAATCACTGCCACCTTTCTTTGCCTCCACATGTTTATGTTAGGGTTCCTTCTCTGCAACGACTGTGATCAGAACAAAGAAACGAAACAGACTGTGCCTGGAGAAGAGCTGGATCACAGCAGTTGCCTCCTTGCCACTGAGACTGACAAAGATCCTTAGTGAAGAACAAGTTTCTTACTCAAATGTAAATGAAAAAGCACTCAGTCAATGTGGCAATGCAATCTTCACAGTTGACAGTTTAAGAAATCAGATGATGGCACAGCCATGTGTACTACCTTTTTTTCTCAACCAAAAATTCTTTGTGGCTAAAAAATACCTCACAAGGGGTGAATCACTGAAAAATGTTGAGAACCACTGCTCTGATCACAATGAAGTTGCAATTAAACACTTTTCCTGTCCTTTAACCACAGGAGAAGTCTCTGTTTAAATACTACATACAGTGTAAACTGGGCAGTCTCCTGTTTCCGTTTCATAAAATCTATGATATGATAACCCATCATCATCATCAAGAATCTTAACATCTTTTTTGTTAAGATTCTTCATATGGTCTCTGTCTTAATGCGAACCAAAACAAAGTTTGAAAACGTGAAGATCTTCAGTCTTACTTTGTACTTGAGGCCTTTTGCAGTCATCTGTGGGAGCACTTGATGGTATCTACAGAAATTGTCTGCCATCCATGATTAGTTAATCCATTCCGAACAGGGCTCCATTCCTCGTACGTGGCTAATTGAGTTAGCCGGAAAATTTGCAGGATAAAATTTCAAAGATCAGGCTTTTCGGTTCAAGTCTGGCAAAATCACCTGCTCCCGCGCAGGCAAAGTCAACTGGATAAACTTGGCAAAGGGGCAATCATTGGGAAAGCCGCTGCATGCCGTGCTATTCACAAAGTTCTGTTTGTTTATTTGACGTTTAAGGCACTTAGGAATTTTGCATGTTTCACTGCTTCGATTGATCGAATTTCTGATCTGAGCATACACAGATTTGCAAACACATCTTTAACCTTCTTGTTCTATACATGTCTACAAACAAATATATGCTACATAAGCGCATACAGTACATATATCCTCATAACTATTCATTTGTAATCGATAATCTTTGGGAAAGTTTTGATTTCTGTATTTTCATTTTTCTTTTTTCTCAATTCAGTTCAGCTTTCAGCTTCCTAGTATTTTATCATTTCTGTATTTTCAGCAATTGTTTCAAATTCATTCCTGCTGCAGCTTTCAGCATTCTAAGGCATTTTCAGGAGGAAATTCTTTTTCTAATTTGATATGTAGCAGAAGCACGCATTTTAATCGTCAATATCCCTGACAAATATGCTCATTTAATTGTGACATCCCAAATTGTGATTGCATTTAAAATTGGATCAATTGTCTAGACATAATTCTTACTTAGGTTTCTTGTATAAACGGATCACAAAGGTTGGTGTAGGCAACAAAACAGTTTTGTTAGGTTAGATTACAGGTTACAGGTCATCTAGCTGACACTTTTATCCAAAGCGACTTACATTGCATTTTTAACCCATGGGTTTTTACATTTTTGCACACGGAGCAATTAGGGAGCAACCTCGAACCGCCAACATTGCGGTTCCCAGCACACCCTCTCTACCCCTGCGCCACGTCCACCCCAGGTCTAACTAAAAAGTTGTTGGTTTGACTAAAAGCCCTCAGACATGTGTGAATCCTGTGAAAACTGAATGCTGCTTCTACATGTTTAGTTTTGACTCTGGGAACAGAAAGGTGACCCGTCCCAGACGACCTGACCGGTCAGGATGGTTCTTAAGGTAGCACCAGGTAAGACATGTATTTTGGCTCAAAACTATTCAGGGCTTCATAAACCAACGGTAAGATTTTAATTTAAATTCGTTGTTGGATATAAAGCCAGTGTGAAGACCTCAGAACTGGAGTGCTGTAATCCACCTTCTTGGTCATAGTAAAGCCTCAAGCAAAGGTGTTCTGAATCAGCTGCAGGCTCGGTTCTTGCTCACATTGTTCCTTTTTTGCCCTCTTTGCAAATGTGTTTTCTCTCGTTCGTATTGTGTAATAATTTCCTTTTTAATTTGCACTGAAATTCCTTTCATTTGGTTTGTTCTTGGTCCCATTAATTTGAAGTGTTTGATCTCATTCTATTACATTTAGGCCTGTAAGTACTTTAAGTTGTACGTTGGACAGTTGTTTTCTCTTAATGCCTCAATAGGTAGATCTTATTGGTCACCAAGGCCGAGGTCAGGGACCTTGGACTTAAAATGGTTTAGAACTACCAAACCAGGCGTGGGCACCATTTCCGCAAACCAATTGCATCAGTGCTGTAAGAATGTAAAGAAGGTTACCCTCTCTGCTGCTGTCAGTTGCACCAGAATGCACCAGATGCATCCCTCCGCCGCCCCAGACACCTCCAATCCGCAGCAAACCCCAGTTTTAAAGGATTGCAGACTGCAGACTGGTGGTGTTCTCCACCACCAGGGTCTGTCAGTCTATATATACTTGCTGTAGAAACCTGTTGTATTGATATTTTCTTCTTCACTGTAACAATGACTATTTGCATAG